TGTGTTTGACTTATTCCCCCTTTCTGTCTCTTCCTCTTGGCTCCTTTTCCCCACCCTAGGAGGGCTCTCCTCCTCATGTCATATTGCCTTCCCATGCTTTCCCGTGGCATACAGAACATCTCTGATCCCAGTCCAACATTTAATCAGAGGGTTGGTTACTGAAGCTCTGTTAGAATCTCATCAGAGCTCATTCAAGAGAAACAAGGACTAAAGCATGGGCATCAGAGTTAACATTCTATCGTCTTTCTCATACTTGTTAGAAGCCATGCTCTATATGAGACAAGCTGTTTCAAACAAAACAAACGAATTTAAAACTTAAAATTGACTTCTGTCTTAGTTTGTTTGGCTGCTAACAAAATACCACAGGCTGGGTAGCTTATAAGCAAAAAGTATTTATTTCTCATAGTTCTGGAGGCTGGATAGCCAAGGTAAGGTGTTGGTCGGTTTGGTATCTTATGTGGTTTCACTTCCTTAGAGAGGCCATCTTTTCTCTAGAACCTCACCTGGTGGAAGGCCTAAGGAGCTCTGTAGGCTCCCTTTTGTAAAAGCACTAATCACCTTCCTAAGCCCCTCTCCCCCAAACACCATCACCTTGAAGGATGGGGTTTCAACATATGATGTTGGTGGTGGACACAAACATTCAACCTGTAGCAACTTCTTTCTTTGAAGCTGAGTTCCGTTTTCCCCAAGGACAACAGATTATCCAAAATGAAAAGATTTTAGTTAAATATTCAAAAATATTAAGTCCATTTCATCAGCATGATAATGTTTAAAATCATGCTGATGAAATGGATTTACATGACTATATGTCTATATTTATATAGACATATATCTGTGTGATTTTGTGTATGCACATATAGTACATATACAAACATATAGTTATATCTCAGCATAGAATGTTTCCAGATTATATCAAACTTGATGACAAAGTGGAGCCTTGTAGCATAAGAGCCATTTTATCTGTTGACCATTAAAAACCTTTAAGGGTATCCCAGTTTTAGGAGTACTCTAGTTGCAAGAGTAGCAAATTTCAGATATTTTATTTAGCAGTGAGATAGTGTTCTACATCTATCTCCTTGGCCTGGTTTATCCTTTAATCTATTATTTAATGAATTCTAGAGATGATTTATTTTTGAACTGGAGGGATTAACTGAAGTATCTCGTGCTTACTCAAAACTTTACAAATCAGTGCCAGTTCTCTCTCTCTCTCTCTCTCTCTCTCTCTCTCTCTCTCTCTCTCTCTCACACACACACACACACACACACACACACACACACACACACATTGGCAAACTAATAATATACCACTTTTTGGTAGGATTGGTAGTTGACACATTGACCTAAGCTTTGGAGATGGGGCTCAGAAGGTGCTGATGGAGCTGCTTTGTTGAAATAGTAAAGTTCAAGTCACATAGACCTTCAGGAACAAATCCCTTCGGTAACTGTGGGACTATTAGAGTAAGGAAAATCCAGTGTCTACTTATCATTAATATGATGGCTTCAATGCACATTATCTGTGAATGGTGATCTGAGCTCACTGCCAACATTTGCAAGATAAAATATGTGGCTTGACAACCACTGGGAGAACTATTTCCCCAGGTTTTCTCCTCTAGCCATAATAATATTACAGGGATCAGAGATTTTGAGCCCTGCTTCCTGTTAATATGAAGGGAGGATATGATGAATCCTGACAAATAAACCCACGTGTTTTATATATAGTATGTCGGAAACTTGGAATGGGGACATCCTAATACTATTCATTGTTGTAAGAATGAAAAGCAAGAACTTGAAAGAGGAGGATACTTAAAGTTATTCATTTGCCACTGTGCTGGTGGGGATTTACATCCTCATTTCAACACAGGGTAGAGAGTCTTTATTAGACTCTTCAAAACAAACCAGGATAAAGTCCATTTTCACAATAAAAAAAAACACTATTCAGTGAAGCCCCATTAAAATATCATCACAAGCATGGGCATTCTGTAGTATTTCTCATACTTTTTCAAAGTTGTTCCTTTCACATACATTTCAAGCATACATTGGTACTAGTTTACAGATAAATTAGTACAACTCCCCTATACTAAGTCTTTGAATCCACTCTTTCCTTTATATTCATTTTTTAACAGTTTCTTTTTCTTCTTTCACTTTCTTTATTCCCATAGCTTCATTGCCTTCAAAGAGAACACAAAAGAATATGAGAGAATAAAAGAGGAAAAGGAAAAGACAGCTCACTGCATTCCGTGTACCTGAGCAGGCACTTGTTTTGGCCTGGCACATGGCTTGATGGTTAAGAAAGCGGTGCTGTGGAGGCAGAGGAGCCGTGTCCAAATTCCAGCACCACCACTCAGCAGCTCTGTGAGCTGAGCATGTTACTTGACTTCTCTGTGCCGCCTTTCCCAGGTGTAAAGTCAGGATAACAGTGCTAACCTAGTCGTTTTAAGGGGGTGGTGATGGTGTGATGATTGAATGAGTTAAGGTTTTAAACACTGGCTATATCACCCTACACAAAGCAAGCACTAAAATTACCTGCTACTACTCCCTCTACGTTTTGAATTGTTTATTTGCACCCATGTTCTTTTCATCTTTTGACAATTTTGCAATTTCACTTTTTGCCCCGTCTCCTTTTCTGTGTTTTGACTTTGTAACTGGGCACAGCAGGTGATGAAGAGCAAGACTGACAGAGCTCCAGGTCCAGGGAGTAGTAGAGTGAATAGGATTAGCTAGTCTCTTGTCCTCTTGGAGCCTACATTCTCCATTCTGAATGGAGCACACGAACTAAATGAACAAGGGACGTAGATAGAAATAAACAGTATGAGATAGGGATGCACGAAGGTGGAATTGATATCGATGCAGTTACTTTAGAAGAAATGATGACAGAGCTCTCTCTGAGGAGATAACGTTGGAGTAGAGATCTAAGTGTTGAGAAGGAAGCAGCTATTCAAAGCTTTGGTAGAAGAACATTTTAGGGAGAGGGACCAGGGATTAGCACAGACTGGCTTGGTCTGTTCAAGGGACACAAAATATAGCCAGCATGGCTGGAGCTTAGTGAGCGATGGAGAGTGACCAGGGACAACGGGAAAGAGAAGTAGACTGGAGGATGACCATGCGGGTTTGCAATCCAAGGTAAAGACTTAGATTTAGAACAGGGTCTCTCTAACATGCCATTATTAACATTTGGAGTAGACAACTCTGTTGATGGGTACTGTCCTGTGAATTTTAGGATGTTTAGCAGAATTCTGGCCTCCACCCAGGAGATGCCAGTAGCATCCCCACCCCCCCAGTTGTGCCAATTAAAAATGTCTCCAGACATTGTCAAATGTTCCCGTAAGGACAAAATTATTCATGGTTGAGAACCACTGATTTAGAGTATTTTCAACATGGAAAAATAATATATTATTTACATTTTAAAAATATAATTTTGGTCAATTTGTAGAGAATGGAGTGTTGAGAATAATCAATGGGAATAGGGAGACTAGTTCCAGGATGAAAGTGATAGTATTTGGAGTTGCATGGTATTGGGGAAGGTGTTTAATTTATATTAATAGCTAGTATTTCTTCTTTTTTAAAAAAATAAATTTTTATTGATTTTAGAGAGGGAAAGGAAGGGAGAGATAGAAACATCAATGATGAGAGAGAATCATTGATCAGTTGCTTCCTGCACGCCCAACACTGGGGATCGAGCCCGCAACCCAGGCATGGGCCCTGACTGGGAATCAAACTGTTACCTCTTGTTTCATAGGTTGACACTCAACCACTGAACCATGCAGGCCAGGCAGCTAGTATTTCTTCTTAATAAGATAATATGAGTAAAACTTCTGTAAAAATTTGCAAATTATAAAGCAATAGCACAAAACCAGACATAGAGTAGGTACTCAGTAAAGGTATGTTGAATGAATAAATGAACAAATGCATTATGGCTTTCTCAGTGTAATCATTGATTCCTTGATCAATATAGGATGTAAAGCCCTTGGGCAATATAATGTTGGCTTTGTATTCATTTTCAATAATGAGCTTGTACGTAAGATCTTTTGGTGGATTCTGTTAATAGAGCATGACCTTTAAGTAGAGACTCTATCATTACATGGAAATCCTAAAACTAGAAAAGGCTCAATTTTGTGTTTCTTCAACTTTGGGTCACCAGGTCTCATCCTAAACTTAATTACAGAAAAACATTAATTTAAGGCAATTGAACTATTGTCAGGGAAGCAGCGATTATTTCCAGTAAAGGGTGAAAGCCAGCTTCATTTTTTTCCTTCATTTTGCATTATAAAGCATGCTTTCTGAGTAATGAAACCTTTTAACCTGAGTTGATAAAATTGGCTTGGATCTGCATTGAACTTTTAAAATGTATTTTTTTGGTTGCATAGATTTTTGAGGCTACCTATTGTGTAATAACCCACCTACCTATTACAGAATAAAGAGTAGACAAAAGTGGCAGAGAACACAGCATCACAGTGAGAGATGAATGCCAAAAGGTTGAGAGGGTCCAGTTTGAATGTTTCTCTAGGTTTTTCTGGAGGATGCAAAGCTCTGCTGGAAATCTCATAACAATAGATTTTCCTATGATGTATCTTTACGTTCTGCTGCCAATTGGATTGAAAGTATCACAAATAAAAGTGTTTCTTGTGATATTTTCATATATCTTAGTCTAGTTCCAGGAAAAACAATATATGTGAACCATGTAACTATAAAAGACTCCATCTGAAAAATGATCAACCTTCGGGGATGTTTGATTTGTTTCAAGAGTTAGGTAAAAGCCAAGGTCTTCCAATTCTGTTAAATTTAAATTACAACTGGCTTCACGTGGTTGCCACTGGTTTGCCAAAAGATTACCATACAAAGGGTTTTTTAAGTTTATGAGGTCTGGGCACTTTGGTGAAATCTAACAAACCTTGCATAAAGTCCTTTTTTGAAATTTTTTTAAAGAGAAGTTGATTCTTGTTAGGGATTTGAAGGGCAAGAAGCTGTGGGAAAAGAAGTAAAAACATTAAATATGATTAAACGCCTTTAACTGAAGTTTGTAAACTTGAACTGGATTTCCAGGAAACATTGATTGGAGGACAGTCTGGAAGAAAATGACAAACATCTTTTAAAATTATTTGGTAATGCTTAATGGACTAGACATCTATTAAAAGAACATTTCTCCATCTTTGTTATCATTTAAAAATTATGGAGATGATTTCCTACATCTCTACTTTATCCCAGTTTTAAATAAGCCAATATAATATCATTGAATCAAGGACTATAAATCCCCATAGGACTAGAAAGAAAATAAATTTTGTTATTATACTTAGTTCGGGAAGTAATTAGAGGCATTTTGCAATAAGTCACGTACATTTTCTACCCCTGACATGCTATTAAGATGAGTATACAAATAAATGTAAAACGTGTCAGATTGAAGCAACCCAAAATAAGACATTTGTATTCTTATTCCAAGCCAAATGAGTATTTTACAATGTTTATAGATTTTTTTGGGGTAATCATTTTAACGTCTTTCATTGACAGGAACATATAATCCCTTGTTCATGCTGGGGACCAAGTATCATTATCAAGGTTCCTATTTCCAGTTTAATAAAATCTATATTTACACTGGCAAATTCTAGTCATATTAATAGCCTTGGAACATAAAATGTGATAGGTGTGGCCTATTTGCACAAAAGGCCATTTTTTTCTTTCTTGGGGGTTTTGCTTTTTATTGGGGGTTGTCAAGGAAAAGCTCCCATGTGAGTGTTCACCACTAAGGAAAAGAAGAGCCTTGGCAAGGGGAGGGGGACTCTGGTCTCCTCAGGAAACTGGGGCTAAATTCTCGCAGAGGCTGGAGATAACCTGTGAGGAAGGGGTGGCAGGAACAATGCAAAGAGGGACGTGAGGCGTGCCCTCCACTAGGAGAATAAGCAAGTCAAACAATTTAATGAAAGTCTTTCAAGATAAATCAATCCTTATGGCATGAATGATAAAGATTGAACACATTATATATTTAGTTAAAATATACGACCAATGGTAAAAGTGTGCTGAGGAAATTTAGGCCAGTTGTTTCTTTTCTGTGGTCATGATTTTTAAAAAAATGCAATCCTGAGTCGCTCAACGACAAGGATGAATTGTGAGAACTGTGTCATTAGGCAATGCTGTTGCTGTAAGAACATCACAGAGTGCACTTACCCAAACTTAGATGATAAAGCCCACCACACACCTAGGATATATAGCATTGCCCATGGCTCCTCGGCTACTAGTCTGTGCAGCATGTTACTGTACACAACTGTAACATGTGATAAGGATCTGTGTACCTAAACATATCTAACCACAGAAACGGTAAATTACAAAATACAGTATAAAAGATTCAAAATGTGATTCACTTACATAGGGCAGTTACCATGAATGGGGCTTGCAGGACTGGAGGTCGCTCTGGGTGAGTCAGTGGGTGATGGTGAGTGACTGTGAAGGCCTAGCCTAGCCCATCACTGTCCACTGCTGTGGGCTTTATAATCACCATCCCACAAGCCTTTCCCCCTGCGTCCTGCAGACGAGGTCAGAAGTAGAACACCAAAGCTGTCCATGCTGCTTCATGAGCAGGGAGTGGGCTGGACCGTTTGAGAATATTTAGGAGAAACTGGCTGGGCCAGGCATAGATCCCTGTAATACTGACTGTCAGGAGGGAGCGAAAGGTGGCCTGAGGGTCCGTAGGAATAAGATATCAAGATGGAGAGCTAAAGGAACATAGGGGAGTGTCATCCAATGTGGTTTTTAGCTATTGCATGTTGGAGCACTACTTAGGTGTTTGTTGTTTTTTTTAAAAACACAACAAAAAGGGGGTGTTTAACACAAAAAGGGTATAGAATTGAGGACTTACTATTTTGACTCTAGAAATTTGTTTTGGTTACATTGCACCTATCTGGCACAAAGAGCTCTTTCTGGCCTTGAGTTGTTGGAAGAAATAAAACTTACTTATGTTTTACATTATTACAGTCTGAAAATACTTCCAAAGTGCAGGGACAGGCTGGCTTCATGCTACCAGAGTGCTCTCCCTCAGTGACAATGGCACTTGATACTTGGTAAGGTGTCTCCATGGACCCGTGCTCCTGTTTAGGATCTTAGATCCTCAACACAGAATTTCTAGCAGTGTGTCCTGAACACCAGCAAGCTAAGTCTGGGAAGGCTTTAGTGCCCTCTGAATACATAGTGCTGGGGGGGACGGGCTCCTCTGTGCTGACATGTCAGTAACTGACTGACTGGGATGTAATCTGCGCACTCAAAATTGAGGTGCTGTGAGTGAGAGGGAATCTATTGCCAAGCCCCAAGAATATTGCTCACATCAGAGAGAAAAAAATTCCTCCTGAACCATATAGCCTTCCATTTCTTATAGGAAATTCAGGTCCGTTATAGTCTCATGGGACCACCATCACATATGTGGATGGTCATTGACTGAGATGTTATGCGATGCATGACTACATAATTTTGGAAGAATCCAAAATAGGTCCCAGTGGATCTGGGGATGCCACTTGAAGAAACTGTTCCTTTGTCAGTATGTCACGAAGGCACTGGAGAATGTGTGCCCTCACTGCCCACTCCCTGTTATCTGGGTGGCTACTCCATTCCCACAAAACTTCCTCAGAGAAGACCACCCTATGTCTCCACTGCCTGCTCCCCAAACCAACCAGGTCAGGTTCTCTCTTTCTATGTCCTCACAGGTTCCTGAACTTTTCTCTACACTGTCTGAGTTATAGTCCATTATTTATTTTGCGATCATTTATTCAGTCGTCTTCCCAATAGAACAGCGGTTCTCAACCTGTGGGTTGCGACCCCTTTGGAGGTCGAATGACCCTTTCACAGGGGTCGCCTAAGACCATCGGAAAACACATATATGATTACATATTGTTTTTGTGATTAATCACTATGCTTTAATTATGTTCAATTTGTAACAATGAAATTAGGGGGTCACCACAACATGAGGAACTGTATTAAAGGGTCACGGCATTAGGAAAGTTGAGAACCACTGCAATAGACTATATGATCTATAAGAACTAGAAACAATTTTCACCACAAATGTCCCCATTTCTTTGCCTAGTTCTTAACACATATGGCCCTAGAAGTTTTCTCTGTATAAACAGATAACATGATCCTTACTCCATCACCTTTGAAACCACCCAAGCAGGTATTTTACCAAAATTTGTGTATCCTTTATCCCTGGCTATTTTTTTTTTAAATAAAAATCCTGAGCTATGTTATAATCTGCTACTTGTGATTCTGCTTTCCATCCTCATTAATTTTTGAATTTAAAAACCAAAGTTCTGTGATCCAGAGTGTGGAATTGGTTGTTAGAAATCGAGAACAGCTTTATGTTACAAAATTCAGTTTACAGTCTTGGTGAAATATATACACTATAGTGTTTTTCTTCTGACCTCATTGTGAAACTCTGGAAGAATAATGCACACCTGTCAGTTAAAAAATAATACAAAACTTTATTTCCCAACTAGTCACATACTTAGTTCAGTTTTAAAATTTCACTATTTCTTGTAATTGCCGGTCATTGGGAAGTGACTCACATCAAGTTCCAGTAAGAATGTAACTTACAGAGAGGCTGTGTTGAATCCAAAGTTAACCTAAAGTTGGACCTACTATAAAATATATAAGCTGAGGGGAGAAGGAAAATTCTCCATTTTGGGATGCAGGGAATGAGGAGGAGGATGTGTGCACATGTTTAATGGTGTTTTATATTGATGCTCTGGACTCGTTTTTCCCCCTAAAACAAAACCAAGGATTTCTTCTATGACCTAGAATTGACTTTCTGTAAATGTACACTTTACTGATAAGTTATAAATAGTTTATGATGATTTTAAATTAAAACCAGAAGTTAAATTTGGAACACGGAGGAGCTAAATAAGTTAACTCTCAAAAATGTAGTGTCTTGAACTGCCATATCGTATATCAAATCAAAAACTCTGCAGGGACTCTGGCTGTGATCAGGGCTGTTCTTAGCAGATCCATGGCTGCTTTGGTAGTTGGGATCTATGAGCTTTTGCTTTGGTAATTTCATGGTCACTGAAGCTGTTTGTATTGAAATGGCCATTTCTGCTCTCACATTAATAATCTCTAATGATGTGATAGTTAAAAGTGGGAGCTTATATCCCAGGGCATTTGGAGATATTTCACTGAAATCAAACAGTCCAAAGCATAGGTAATTGTGTATCAGGCTATTTGTAATGATCACAGGGGACAAATAATTACCTCCAAGGATTGGGAATAAGATGAAGTGTGAGAGTAACTAAGTATGCTAATGACTGGTGGATGAATAATGCTTGGAGTAGAAACCAAACTCTGAATTGAAAATCTTTGTTCCTGTGCACCTTTCAGAGACATGGTGGCACAGAAGAAATTGCATAACTGACCTTCCTTAATTTCAGTTTCCACAGCTATAAAATGGGATTATTGAAGACTATTCTGTGGGGTGAGTATTAAAAAATGCAGTGTGGTGAGTGACTGACACATAGTAGGTAATCAATAAATGATCAGTATGATGGAGCAGATCAATGTCCCAGCTTTATTGCTTATTAGCTTTGTAATAAGATCATTAGTTTCTTAAGGCTTTTCTGTCATCTTTAAAATAAGAAAAATAACACCAAAATTGCAGACCTGTTTTAGGAATAAAATGAATGAATGTTTCTAACATTCTAGCATATTACATGAGTGAAATAGTAATATCAGTCAGTCTTGATATGCCTCAGAGTTGTTTCTTTACCTTTAGAATTACATTTCTCTAGAGCAAAAGTGCTCTTTGTGTCTGGCGGCAATACTAAAAACAAACAAACAAACCACATAACAAACAAAACAAAACAAAACAAAAACTCTAGCTATTAGCACTTAGTAGTAAAAGTGGAGGAAAGACTTTGGAAACTGGAAACACTGCCCAAAGGGAATCTGACCCATGTGTTTAGTAGAGAGGATAATAAATGAGAATAATAAGCATCATTCTCTTCAAAGAAATATTATATTATTTCTTGTTTTTAAAGTTCTTTGAAGTACAGAGACAACTGACTGTAAGTGCTGAAGGCCTCACAGTATATTTTTTTA